TTTTGAATAATATTTTGTTTCCCTCCTCGAACATTTCTGAGACCTAAAACATACTTTTATATTCTGCAAGATGTGTTAGGCGAATATAATTTTGTTTGTATCAATATAATTTATATATAATTTTATAGTTTTAATCGAATTGTTTTTCTTACGATTTTTTCTTTCGTCATCTTTTTTTCTACGTGAACTTCAAAGATTTCATGGACTGCGAACCATAGCTATGAGGCTAATACTAATAAAAGATTCAGCCCTGATTATATCACCTCTGATCATTCTGTCGTTTCGTTTAGGACGCTTCCCATTTATTTCCCCAGCCCCCGAACTTTCTTTTCCTCTTTTTCTCATCAATGACGAGAGAAAGCAGTTGTGGGGTGATACGACTTGGTCGCCCGTTACGGCGACACATCAAAACCAGTCCCGCGCCACTTGTGTCTCCACGTAAGTCAGTAGTTTCCAAGCTTTTTACGACTGTACGTATTCTCCCCCCTCCCCCTCCCCCGGCTTATAAACACTTAGCTGAAATATCGTCGAATGATGGGGTCACTTTAGCCTCGCATCATAATGAAACGATTCTAAAACCATATTACGTCGAAAATAATAATATATTATTTAGAAGTACAAGTATACGTAAATTCTTTAAGAATTTAGACACTCCGTTTGTCATATCGTTATTAAGGTCTGATACAATTGTGTAAACGTTGTCGTAAATGATTGTAGTTGTAAGAATTGATAAATCATAATCGAATGTAAGGAGAATATTCGATTATAATTGGTCACTTCTTACAACTGTAACTACTTACAACTATGCTTACACAGTTGTAAAGCGAGCTTTAGACGCAGGATTGTATAAAAACGTGCAAAACTCCATACACTATCAATGAAACGCGTTGAACCGCGGTGTCGTGAACGTTTGACGGGAGAAATCGCGTCGTGTAACCAAGAGTGTAAGGCTGCTGTAAGCCGACGAAAAAATTTCGCGCACCTTCGTAACGATGATTCAGACGACGCGGACGGCTTCAGGCGACGCTTTCATCCTGTGTGTATGGGGCGCGTGTACCGGCCGGCCGGGCACTTCCATCGGTCGTCCCGCGAATAAATGTCGCAGTTACGCGGATTGCACCGGGAATTGGGCACGTAGGCGCGCGCGCGCGCGACCCTTTCTCGCGGCGGGATGCACCGGCGGGTGCAATAACGATAACGGCGATCGTACTAACGTCCGCGACAACGTTACGTGACGATGACGGGCGGCGGCGTTACGACCGCGATAATAAAGAGATACGAGAATTAGTTCGACCGGACGATAGCCCGTTTATTGTTCCTCTTCAACACTCGGAGTGTGTCCTACGGCGGCGAAGAACGCGCGCGCGGACACGTTAATAATATAGATTGTTATCTCAGAAAGATGATATTTCGTTAATATTAGATTGTTATTCCAGAAAGATAAATTTGAAAAACTTGATTGAAAATAGTTTTAAAGTAATAACATATACTTGTATAATTAATACTAAAATAAAGGTATTGGTATTTTGCAAAAGTTTGTAGCATATTTGTATCATTTGTTTCTATACATATACATGTGTATTATTTATTAAAACACCGATATAATAGACATATAAAATTAAACATTGAATTAATTAAATTTATTAAATTATTATTATCTTTCATGTTACGTCACTAAGTTACTAAATTTACAAAAATAATATATAATATATTAAATATGTACCTTTCTATACCGTTTGCTCTTCATTAGAATGTAAAATTATCTCCTATTATTTGGTTAACTTACAAAATTACGAGTTTAAAAGCGTCTGGGTGATTATGAACGCGATATTATGACGTTTCGTTCGTCATGTCTACCGATAATGTTAAAGGAAGTCTAAATGAAAGTTGATATCGCGAGATGTGAATCAAATGGCGAATCTCGGTTACGCCATATCGACATAATTCCCTTCCTTCGCTCGTGACCCTCGTGGTGAAACCGTCCGTACGTTCGTGTACCCCTTTCCTAGGGGCTGGCATAGTTTAATATACAAGGCACGGGAGAGCGATCCGGCTTCTCGACCCCGGGATTTCGTTATAAATAAGGGTCGTGCACTCGCCCTGCGGTACCGCAGAAGAAGAAACGCTAACGCACGAGGTGCTAACCGTTATACGTTCTCGTTTTCGTCGAGCTAATTCCACCGGCCATTACTCTTCTCCCGTGCCGAGAGCAGTGTCGAGAGAGTGTTCGATACAGAGCACGGTTTTTCCGTAACAAGCAGGAAAATTGAATCAATCGTTAGCAGAAAAAGGTAATGATTTATTCTATCCGTTGTAAATAACGAGGTTTCCCTGCTTTTAATTATGCAAACGTTCAATTCATTAAAATCTTTTTATTTAACTTATTCGGTGGAATAATTTAATTATTATAATTTTCGTAGCAGTAATTCAATTATAAATAATTGATTGAGATGATTAATAATACAAAATTTATCATCGATTCGAATATAATTCTTCAGGTTTTTTACATTGAAATACGAAATACAGTATGGAAGAATTCACTTGGTGCTATAAAGAATTTATTCGCGATGGTTCTCTCCTACAATAGATCAACGTGAATAGATAGAAATGAATAGAAACAGGAAACAATTTAACGATCGCAGAGCAATTTCCGGATTTGAAAACTAGACGTCCGTATTTTTGCGAGATGTGTCGTAACTATTCATATCGCTTTTAATTCATCTACTTCCTTTAAAGACTACCATCGCAACCGCATTTAAAAACAATCCAGAAGCGTGTCAAAAGGGAGAGAAAGGGGAGTACGTAAATCACGTAACCGGAAGTAATTTCCGCTCTTGTGGGTTTTTTCTCTTGCCCCTGGAAAAGAAAACAAACCGGATCGTTCCTTTTCCGCCCCAGCGCTCCTTCCTCGTCCGTACTTTCCGTGATTCTCCCCGGCCGCACGCGACAACATCGGGAACCGGCCATAAATTTTCCGCGTACAAAGCGAACGAAATTCAAGAAAGTACCGGCCTCTATGTCTCGCGTCACGCGAGCCACCGATAACATTAACGAGCCAATCCTCGCGACGTCCCGACGCAAAGTGCGCGCGCGCGTGATCTTCCGACGATCGAAATGCGAGAGGGTGTGTTATCGTTACGCGACTTTCCACCCTCCATGCTTTATGCGTGGACCTGGATTATAAATTATGGGAAACCCTACTGGCCATGGAAAAAAAAGGTTACTCTCCTTTCCACCCCCAAAAAAGAAACGCTTTCTCTGAAGCCCCGAATATCCGTTGAACACGTGAACAACCTCTTTTGCGGCAAAGTTGTTGTTATCATTATTTCCATGTACTTTTGTAGCAACGTATCGAGAATCTAACGCTTATATCGCTGGGCGAGAATTCCATCGCGGTTCCCAGAGGATCGTCAAGAATTATGTATACAGGGTAGATACAAGCAAGGATTCATATATACCCGAAGGATACCAGATGGAACGCATATGCGAAATCTCGCAGATTAGATCAGCCGAGATACCTTCCGGTGTCATCTCGTCCCGCCGCAAAAAGCAGAATTTACGCACTGACGACAGTTTGAGAGGTCCCGGTGGCGCATCCCTCCCTGCGGCTAATGTACCAGTCGTTCTCCCGTCATCCACCCGCCCTACATCGGCGAATTTCCCTCTCTGGCGGCGGCGTGTCGAGTGTGTGTAACGCGCCGAGAAAGTGCGCGCATTTTCTTCCCCTCCGCATTAGGAGGAACGTTTCTACTGCTTTCTCCTCCGCGCTGTGGCCCTCTCTTCCCTCGACAGCCCTTTGCCTTTTTCTTTTCCCTCCGACGCCAGATGCTGCTAACTGCGCTCACCCTGATGAGATCCCGGCCCCCCCTCGCTCCTCGCCTCGCGCTGCAGCTCGCGTCTCTTCCTTTCCCTTCGTTCTCTCCCCTCCCGCCGATCCATCTTCCTCGAAAAAGACAAGATCGCGCTACACGGCCGCTTTATTCGCCCGAGCGAGGAGGAACCACGGATTCTTTATATTCGCCGACTGCTCTTGTTATTGTGGCGGAGCTGACGATCATTCGTTGCTCGGTGATATCACGACGGGACGAAGTACCGCATAAAAACCGCGCCTTTCAAACGAGAAGATTGCATTCGAGATACACGCGCAAAATATATACACACACACACACAAAGTAATATTAAAATTTTGAAAATTAACGAGAGTTGTTCGAAATACTTTTAAGCAGCAATAATTAGTGATATATGGATTAATGTTATTTAAAATAAAATTACAAACTTCTATGTTTTAATTATTTTTTTTATACTAACAATTCATAATTACGAAGACAAATTTAGAAGTTCCAAAACGAAATAAGTCTAATTGAAATTCTTAGATTTGAAGATCGATAGATTTGAAATTGATTGAAAGATCTGTCACTAAAATTAAGATATCGTATACGTTTTTTAGATAAGATTTTCGTGCGAAATTGTCACTTTATACGCGTATCAATCTCGGCTAGATCGAGCTGGTCCTCGAGTCCGGTTTAACTTCATCGTATCCATTAAACTGTCATCGAGTCAGTAGTGGCCTCTCGTCCGTGGACTTAACCAAGTTTGTCGAAACTTTCCCCCGCGAAATTAGACATCGAACTACTTGTACGTTACGTCGAACTTTCTCCGTCCTTGGGAACATCGAATTTCTTACGCGTCACCGCGATATTGAAGGTTCTTGTCACCGGTTTTTGATAACGTCATAACGAGAAAATAATAAGAGCGCGAATAATTCTTCTAACTTAAGTTACGCAAACTGACTTTTTATTGAAAATAAAAGAAACCGAAGTGCAACAGAACGAGTAATAACAATTGCAAAAGAGGAGATGTATCTATACATACGCGCGGCGTTTAACGTTGACTGATTCGGATGGAATCACGGTTAAAAGCCGAGATTGTCTATCTCGTAAAACGCCATCAATCTTGCGTAAAGTGACGTATCGCTAAAACGATCCTGCTTTTTGTTTCAGCTCTCGGAGCTCGAGCAGCGGGTGTTAGAGGCGGAGGGCAGGGCGGATGAAGCTGAAGACAAGGTGAGCGAATATATTGATATCTCTTGATTGAAAGTACATATGCTCAATGCGCACGGAACATAAAATGCCGAAAAGTCTCAAATGCGAAATTTATTTTGTTTTATTATATCAGATTACACAAATTTTTGTTTTTTAAAGTCTCATATTAAATTGATGCGTTAAGTCTCGTATTAAAAGTGCGTATCTGTCTTTGCAAGCTAATCTCCACCCCCATCTAGGTGGAGATGGGCAATGATACGTGACGGATCCGGCGGTGGATCCTGAAACACTTTCATCTTATCAACCCTCACGTTCCTTCGGGGTTGTTTACTCCCGTTTCATACCATGCACAGGGTTCTTTTACCGACGACGAGTCGACACCATTTCTGCGACCCCACGCGTTTCTTATCCCCGTACATTTGGCTTTACCGACAGACACCGAGACACCCCTTCGTGAACGGTACATCCCTACGAACCCTCGCGAACCCTATTTACCTACCGGAGGCAACGGTAAATTTTCGCAACCCCGTTGATGATATCGCCATTATTTAAAAAGTATATTGAATTAATCTATATATGTGTGTGACACTATAAGATTAATAAAAATTAATTTTCAAAGCACTTTTTAAATTTTAGCAGGAAAACAAAAAACAAATTCTTCACGTTTTTTTTTAAATAAGTTCTCTCTCATTCCCTGGTTAATTAAAGTAAAAATGGGTAAGCGGGGTCGCCTCGTTACCGATATTCACGAAAAGAGTGAAATATCGATTAACTGACTAGCAGATACGTCGGTGTCCCTCGGTATCCGTCGGTACCTCAAGAGGGGCGCAAGGAGAAAGGGTGAAAGCGCGGAGGGAAAGAGGGAAAAGTGATAAGAGTAGCAAGATGGCCGTGCGGCTGGCCGGCGAGGTCGTCGTTTTGTTATGACCCCGAGTTTCGCCCTCGCGAAACCACGTGCATCCGCGACGGTGCATCGGCGACGGTTACAACCCCCGCGCCGATCTCCCGGAAACGATCGCCGTTCCTCGCCGTTGTACGACCGTTGATACATCGCGCGCGTCCACGGTAGGGTGTCGGAAGGTCGAGGTCGTCGAAGCCGTCATCGAGAGTCGTCGTTCCCGTGCGCGAGGAACTATGGCCCGTGGCAGGTGACATCGATGAAAGGTAACGAACGTAGGCCGCGCCGTCCGAGGATTGAAAAAAAAACCGATGTGATCTCCCGATGAGTTCTCACTCTTTTAAATCAAATCAGGAAAATAATTTCTTGTTCGTTTATTCACGCAACCCGCGAACTCGCGACGACCCATCTTCGCGCACACAAAGCGAAGATATTTTACGGCCTCGAGTATTAGAATCGACCGAAATTTTATTTGAAAACCGATGTGATTATTATGAAAAATTCAGACTTCACATGCGTAGAATTGTTTTTATTTTTATTCACAAATAATAATTGGCATAAAAGGAGACGTTCTTGTGCAAGAGAAAATTGAACTTTTCATCGGCAATTGAATACGAATTAAATCCGATATAATCTCGTTTGGTTTGGAGTTGAGTTTGGATTTGATGCTGTAATTACTGTATACTGCAAAACTAATAGTTTCCATGTTTATTAACGGCAATACAAATATATTAATGCATCAATTTTTCCATCAGTCGCAACATTGAAATTTGCCTTAATCGAAGTTACATTTAGAAATCGAGAACTTTATTATAAGATATTTCGGTGATACAGTAATTCAGGAGCATTTCCGGATTTAAGAGTTTGTTATGTTAATTAATGTGTCGTTAATTATTTGTATGTATCTATTTAAAAGCTTGTATTTTCGATCAGCAAAAAAAATTGGAAGAAAATTTCTTAGAAAAATATTAGCGTAATATATTAGATAAGAGAGATAGTTCAGAAGTAATTCTCATATATACTTTATTATGTCTCATTCCTAATAAGACACGCTTTAGTACCCAAGAGTGTAGCTATATCGAAGCAAGGGACGATATTTATCGCGCCGTTTATAGATATCGCAACGGGAACAACGAGCGGTGCTTAAACACGACGTACCGGTTGCGACAGCGACTTAATGAGTCGCGTCTCGTGTAAAATTGGCTTACGGCCAGTGTATGAGTAATCCTCACTTCCCGCCGACATCCGCGCATTAAATAAAACGAGGATGCCGTCTTCGTCCCTCTCTCCCCGCAGCCTGCGCGTCTCTCGCTGTAGAGTCCTATTTTGTGAGGTCACTCACTTACGTTAGTTTGTCAAAGAAAAGTTACATCTTAAGGCACATAATACTTATCAATCGAAAAAATCAAATTAACGCTCTTATTTTTATTTCGATACTTTTATTTTAATATTCTACTTTCTTTACATGAAAATTTCTCTTTTGTCCAATTTAAAAACTTTACATGAATAAACAAACGGATCTGTTTATTGAAAATTATTTCAATTTATTAAAATTAATTCCAGAAATCGTAGTAGGAGGATTTATAATTTGAAATGCAGTAAATTTATGTATTGAAATAAATCGAGAAATGCATATTATTGCTGTTATTTTACATCAAAAAGTCGAAAAATATTCATGATGAAAAGTCGCGACAGTTTTTTCCTTTATTCATAAAATATTTTCGCCGGCTATTATATAGCAGATGGTCTTAATGCATGTGTTCATACATATTTCATGGGAAACTACGTGGCACAGCGAATCGATATTTGCCAAATAGGCACATTGACCAACACATCCATGCAGTGAATACACTATATTAATAAATAATATTTTTCAAAATTTTATCTAATATGTAAACGTTATGTAAACTTTATAACATTATATATATTTCACAGAATTTAATATGATTTTCGAATGTATGAATAGTTTCGTTGTAATGTACGAATCATGGGAATCTTCACTGACACAATTGTGCGCCAGTGCTTTTATTGCACCAGTCGTCGTCGCGTCGGGCTGTAAAAAAGAAAAAAAGCGGTATGCAGTTTTCCTTACCGCTTTTAACCGCTTTTTATCTCGTCAACAATTATTTGAAAAGTAACGCAATATAAGCATTTACATTAGCTGGGAAACATTAACGAACGTTTAACGATTTTTATGTCTAAGAATCAGTGTTCTGGATCGTAAAAAATTAGATGAGTCACTCTGTAGGCATGTTGAAACCCTACTCCGACTTTATCGAAGCTTAACACTCAAAGAGCACGAATTATCGTTTTCATCATCCTCCGAATCTACTTTCTTTAAGCCTGCGCTAACGGGATACGTTAAGTGAGAAGTGGAGTAGATCGATAAATTTCAAGACGGTCCCGAGAAATGGAACGGGTGGAACATTCGCGGATAGAGCCAGTGTTTTAATTCGCATCTTCCATAATTTAGTTCTTTCTGAAGTATCCACGAGTGTCTCAAGTTTTAGGCGAATTGTCGGAATTCGACATCGAACGTAATTCTACAAATCTGCAAATCTTGTAAATCTTCTACAAATTTGGAACGCGCCCGATATCTTTCTGCAAACATTTACATTCGTATAGAGTTGATTTGCTCTTAAACGTTTGAGAAGCTGACTCCTCACGTTTTCGCGTCTTCTCGGCAGCCCTTTTTTTCCGATCGATTCGTCACAGCATCGCTGGGGAGCGAGTTCACTTCGCCTCAGGGTCATCGGCTTGACCCCGCGGTGGTTGCGCGTCCCGAGTGCATGCATACGAGTAGCATCCACAAATTCACTCATTGGCTATGAGCCAACGTGACTCACCGCCTCTAGAAAACCCCCGCGTAGTTTATATGTACTCGGGTTGTACGTCCGTTCGCCTCGCTTCAGTTCGGCTCGATCTTCACCGGCGGGCGGACGAGGAATTGGCTCTCCGCACGTGCGTTCATCCGCGAGATTCGCCGTCTCGTTTTTGTTGCGCCCCGAGTCTTATTTGAGGAATCAGCCACCGACCGAATCCTCAGGCCGAATCGTCTGGAGGAGGAGTGCTCGTCGTGGATGAATATTTTCCGACGAATCGCCGGAGTGAGAGAAGGAGTTAGAGGCAGCGTGAAAATAATATTCTACCATGGAAACGTTTAATAGGGGTAAGATTTTACGATAACCGATTTTGCGAGAGCCGTTCAAATGGAATTTATGGCGACACCGATTACGGAAGTTCTCCATTGCATTAACTTTATTTTATTATACCCCGGCTTCATATAAAATATAAAATTACAAATTTACCTTTAAAACATAAATGAAATTAATTTTTAATTGTGCAATAACTGTATTTCGCCAAAAGGCCGGTGATTAAGTTACGTATAATGTGCTTTGGATATAATCTACTTTTTGCAGAGCTTAAACGATGCAATCAAATTTATAACGCGTAACGCGAAAATTCCATATATATAATTATATTGTACAGTGAACATGATACTTCGGTAATATATTGTTAAAATATCAATTTATTTTTTGTAAATGAAATATTTCGCGACGATTTCGTAAATGAAAACGTTTAATAAAATGGAATGTCACGATGGACGATAATTTCGTTTTTGTTGACATAAAGTCGGCTCTAAATTAGGTAATCGTTGAAAACCAGCGTGCGCTGCACTTTAGAGGCAGCGCGGAAAACGCAACTGAAATCATCTCGCCAAGGCATAGGTCGATTCCCTTTTGCCGGTGAACACGTAAGGGCCGCGTTGCGACCGCAAAGTCGGCGACGACAATGAGAGAAAACGGAAACGTGGGCGAGGAAACGCGTCGTCGGTCACGGGAGAGCCAGAAGTTTGCGAGGAAGATATAGAGACGGAGAAAGATCGATATAAGTAAGGGTAGCCCATGCACGGCGACGACGACGACGACGGCGACGACGAGGCACACACCGGGAAAACATTCGGCGAGAGAGAGGATTTCCCCGTATTGATTTTCTCTCGAGTCCCCTTTCGACTAGTCGCCGTGGACGTGAACGCTCGCTCTCGCCCGTTCGCGACATTTACCGTATATATCCGCCAACCGAGCCGTTAAGGCGATATCGATTTTTGACAGCTGCTCCGCCGCGTTTACACCGTGTGTAAACGCCACACGCGCGGATGTACGGTACGTATGATGCGGGAAGGGTTCTCTCCCCGACATACACAAAGCTCTCTCTTTCTCTCTCCCCCCCCCTCTCTCTCTCTCTCTCTCTTTCTATCCTACTTTCTCCCCCAACGCAACGTAACGCACGCAGCACAATGTGACGTACGCACTCGTGCGAATTCGATCCGCATGTTCGCTTGTTACATGTCCGATCGTAAGCGTGGTGAGCTTTCGCTCCTCGTAAATCCGTACTCACTTGCGCGATTATTCGTCGCAAATCCAACGCGCTCAGATAGATTTATTTTATTTTTAGTGTTCTCAGTTCGCCATTATTTGCAGTTATTGCAGAGGGAATTCGAATTCTCTCGACAGTCGGCGGGATACACGGATTACTCAACAACGGGCGTATTCTAGGGGAGCGTACAGTTTCGCTCGATTCGTGATTATCCACTGTCTGTCCGCTCTCTGCAGTATTTAATTATTTAGCATTTTATCAGCGATCTATTTGCGAACGATCAGATTTTCTCTTCGATGGTCTTCTTCAGCATCTTTCGCTCACGATTACTCGCTATCGTAAAATATCCTTTATGATATCTTCCGGTCGAACGATCGAGATCTTCCGATAAGCATTTGCTGCTTTGATTTGCGATTATTTGCGATCAAAGCAAAAGCTCTCCGTCAATTATTTGATTCGTTGACTTCTGTTAGCGATGAGGATACTTATTCTGCTAGCAAAATTATTGCTGGAGATTATTTGAAGTAGAAAATGTATATGGGCTATGAATAATTTCCTACGTAAATTGTTATACAAATTAATTGAAAAAAAAAACGTAGCGAAGCTCGAAATATTCGGAGATATGTTTAGAAATATTTATTTATGTTATCTATTTAAATGCATTTCTATACATTTGCGACGTAACGCATTTGTGGTTTAACAATCAAATGTAGACTATCCAGCGGTTGAAATTGAAAATAAAAAGCTCTTTAAGAATTAAATTTCAGAAATACAAATTGACATAATAAACTTTTTACACATAATCCTCTATTTAGTTTTAAACAAATTTGCTGTATAATTTGATGAGTTAAATTTTCAAATATTTACAACTTATGATGACTCTGACGGTCTCTTTAAACGTCTCTTCTTCGAACTAAAGAAAGAGCGATTTCAAATTAGTCACAGAATTCGTGGAGGTAACAGGTGATTCATTGATGCTGGAATCTAGATAGGATCGATAATATTGTGCGTGTTTGTAAATTGTATTGTCGATGTCTTCAGGAAGTGTAGCATTAACAGGAATATTGAGCGCTTGCTCACTCCCCTGTCCATTTCAGGTACGGATGATGGAGGAGCGGCTAGTGAAGGGTGAATACTGCCTCAGCACATCCGGCGTTGGTTCTCCGCCGCATTCGCTGCCGTCGACCTCCGGTACGCAGAATGACAAGATCGAGGAGGTCCATTGTGCCTGCATTTCAAAGCTAGAGACTCAAGTCGAGGAACAGGTAAAATCTAATTCTCACTCTGATTTCGTCAGTCCTTCTACTCTTTTCAGAGCGTAGTCACCTCATCGCATTTCTGCGGTGCAGTGCGCTATTTACAATTTACGCAGATATACGGGATCTACGTTTAACGTCAATTTCGAACGGCCTTAACTAACTTACTCTGATAGAAAACTATTATAATGTCGAAAAACGAATCTATATGTAGCATATAAATTGATTTAAATGTGTCTCGTCTAGATAAAAGTATTAAATATTTTCTTTGGCAGCTAATTATTGGAGAACATTGATGGCAAAAAGTGAGATTTTGTAATATAAATAAAGAAAAAATATAAAATATAAAATAATTTTACTACTTGAATAAAAAAAAATCATTTGATGATTTATCTAATAATATCGATCAAAATATATTGTATGCATCTATCGTTTTTTATTTGAAGATATGCCACGATTCGTGCGTCCGCGATTTCTTTTTTAAAGCTTGAGATTATCTATAGTCTCTTGAGATATTTGATGATTTCCGAATGGGCGGGATCGGGTTATCATCTTATCAATCAGTCATCGTCATTTGTGCACAGAGGCAGTTACGGCTGCACGACGCCAGGCAAGTGGAAGCGAAAGCAGCGAGGATAAAGGAATGGGTTACTAATAAATTGAGGGAACTGGAACAACAGAATCAACATCTGAGGGAACAGAACAACAAGTGTAACCAGCAACTCGAGTTGTTGCGCAATCATATAACTAATATCGGACTCAAACCTCCCGTAAGTTTTTTTGGAATACAGTTTGAGTTTAGCATTTTTTTCTCTTTCTCTTTAACATTAATGTATTTAAAATAATTTGAAAATAATTGCAAATAAATATTACTTCTATTCGTGCGAAAAAAAGTATCGTTCATGTTACCGGCTTTGTGACGTTAACGGAACATTGAGAGATGTAATGGGTTTTTAAGTGAGGAATTCTCTGTACGCAGGCACCGACGAGAGCGTCATTGTCCCTGGAAGTTGATCCCACCTTGCGTATCGATCGTAGACGATCGGAGAGCTTGGAGGGTACCCCGCAAACGGCACCGGAGTGCGTGCAAACTGTCGTAGCGGAACCGCAAACGAGCACGAAGCACCGGAGACATTTGTCCGCTTGCGGCACCATCCGAGGAGTCGCGGCCGCCAACATGGACTCGAGGTAAAGCTTTTGCCCGATAAACGGGATCTTACAGGACTTGAACACTTCTCTCGCCACTTTCGCGGGCACACTAAATGCATTTGGCTCTCATATCTCGATTCTCCTTGGGAGGCCTCACGACGTGATAGCGGCGCCCGAGTTTTCGAAATGTGGTACCCTGTAACGTCCTGGGACTTCCTGAGGGGATCCGTCGTCCCATCCTCTATTATTATACTTTTATTATTACGTGTATTTTATTTAACATATTTATTATATTTGTACGTTTGTTATATTTATGTCACGACACATTTCATAAAATTTCGAATTAAATTTACGTGGTGCTGTTAATTTAACGAACAGTATGGATAATTTAAAGGCGCAGCGCGCACACGCACATACGTACACTCCATACAGAAGGTAATTGAATTGATTCTGTGCTTTATACTTGCCGCTTCTTTATATCCTCTCTTAGTCTACTGTCCGAGGAGCTAGCCGCGGCGGTCGAGAACCTGGTGATGCTGCCAAATATGTCTGGTGTTTCGGAGGCGAGCCGAGACAGCGGAAGCTCGGAAGCGGTGCATGATTATGCCGAGATATATACACCCAGCCGGGAGGGCATGAATTGGCTGCAGGGACAAGGTCCTCGTCCGCCGACCCCGCCGTTGCACAGGTTTCCTAGCTGGGAGGCGAAAATATATCAGGTAACGATGAGTATATTTCCAAAGACGTGTACAAATGCAGTGGAACTCGTGCGATCGAAAGATCGTTTCAGTGCATCAACTAACATTTCGAAATAATATAATTTTTTTTTGTATTTCATATTAATTTATGAAATGACTAAATCTCGATGATTGTTTGCAGGTAGCGGATGGTGGCCTCGGCATCGGTCCACCGACAAACGAGGAGTCCGCCCCCTCCACGATGACCACCACGACGAGTTCGTCGAAGCATTCTCAGGCCACGGGACACAACTTGACAGCGCACAATTCTCAAGGCTACTGCGATATTTCCGTTCCAGTATACGCTACTGTCAAAGGTAGATTATAAAAATACTAATTAAATTAACGTGAATTAGCGTGAGAGAGAAAAATACGCAAGTCTAAAAAATGTGATAAAAATGACTAATGTAATTAATAGTCAGCTTGCTGCTCTGTTTAATGTTTATCTTTATCGATTTTTTTCAGGACGTGCCAGTCAAATCAGATCCATGCCTTTCGGCGATAGTTCTGACGACAGTTCGGACGGCGAGGAACATCCGAATCAAACCGAAACTAATACTAGAATTACCAATAGCTCGTCCGACAATACGGATTCCTCCCTCGGTAGCGGAAGCAGTCCCTCGAAAAGTATTAAAACAACCAGTAGCCTTAGTCCCGCGAAAAGAAGCTCAAGCGGGTCTCCCAGTAAAAGCGTAAAACGTGGTGAGTTTAAATAATGTGCTTTTTTGCTTTTCCGTCCATTTTATGATAAAATTTTAAATAGTATTTAACATTTTATAATTTTCTGATTGTTTTTATGATTTTTATTGCATCTTAATAAATATCGAATTATTTCTATTGAGAAATAAATTAAATTAAAATCAAGTCATAAAAAATTAAATATCAAGTGAATTAAATAAATATATTTTATTGTAATTATTTCGGTAATATCTTGCACTTTGAAAAAGAGATTGAAAGAATGATAAAGAGCCGCAAAGGAAGATAATTTGTTAACCAAATATCTAGAAAAGAAGAGTACATTGAAATTCACATACAAAATATCCGACATCCAACAACTTTGAGTTTGTTCGACTTGCAGATACTTCTCTCGAGTCAGGATTATCTGAGGATTATGCAATACCTCCCGATGCACTAAGTTCGACATCTCTAGAATCTAGCATGCCTAGCCTCCTAATGCGCGTCTCTGGCGAAAGTCCAAAGAGACAGGAATCTCTGGAGAAAACGGGTCATCTGGCGAAATTAGGCGGCAAGTTAAAAACTTGGCGGAAGCGATGGTTCGTACTGAAAAACGGTGTGTTAACATATTGGAAGAGTCAAAATGACGTCAACCGGAAACCTCAAGGCCAAATAATCTTGGACGAAGTGTGCAGGTATATAATATAAGATAGCTTAAAATTGATTAATAAATCATGAAAAAAATTTGATCAGCTTAAAATTGATTCATAAATTACGAAGAAAAAAAATTTGATTGAATAGACCGTAATATAAAAGACAGTTATCATAAGTATTTAAAATTACTTTTAGTATTTTAGGAAAGTATTATATTTGAGCACATTACATTTAATTTTTTTTTTTTTTTTTTACCTGCAGTATAATATATTTTTGTATTTCTTCCAGGATCAATAGAGCTGAAGGAGCCGCCACTTTCGAAATAGCCACAGGTAAGAAGACTTATTACTTGACTGCGGACTGCATCGCCACGATGGAAGACTGGATAAGAGTGCTGCAGAACGTGCAAAGGCGAAACGCAACGAAACTCTTGCTCAGTAGGGAGGATAATAAGCCAACGATACAGGGTTGGTTGACGAAGGTGAAAAATGGCCACGCGAAGAAGTGTTGGTGCGTGCTTATCGGCAAGATGTTCCTTTACTTTAAGTGCCCCAGTGATACGGTGAGTATACACGAGTACAAACGAAATCGTTAATTATTTGCATTCTCGAGATACAACGATTGTACAATGAGCGAGTTACGCTGTATTATCATTAATTAATCTAAATAACATTTAAACACTTATAATAATTTAATTAATTGAATTTATTACTATTAAGTTTATTATTTTATGCTGTAAATTTAGGAGATTATTCCCTAATCACTTTTCATCTAGCGAATTTGTTTAATAACACTTGTGTAATTGCATTTTTTTTGAAAGTTTAGTATGATATTTCATATGTGTAATATTTAATTGAGCTTTTGAATCACCAGAATCCTATCGGCCAAATCAACATGAGGGACGCTCGTGTGGAGGAGGTGGAACATGTTTCGGATAGCGACAGCGAGGAGAGAGACGCCGAGTGCCCCCACGAGAGAACAATTGGCATCTTTCCGACGCATCAGGGTCCAACTTATCTACTGATGCCACATAAACAGGACAAGGACAATTGGCTCTACCACTTGACGGTGGTGTCAGGTGGTGGGCCGAGCGCGGGCACGCAGTACGAGCAACTGGTGCAGAGACTAATGGAAACCGACGGTGATCCCAGCTGTGTGCTGTGGCGGCATCCCCTGCTGCTACACACGAAAGAGAGCATCACGAGCCCGCTGACAAGCCTGACTTCCGAATCCTTGCAAACCGAAGCCATAAAGCTCTTCAAGGTTGACACAATTCTTCACCGATTCTTTCGCGATTTCATTTGCGATTTATGTCAAATTTTTAACGTCTTTCATGGTACAAATAACAGTTCTAATTGTTTCCAATGTTTTATTATATTTGGTTTTATGATGCTTCTAGAATTATTGTTTCTATGTATTTTTTTATCTTCTGTCATGTTGTTATGTTTGTTTCATTTTAAATACGGTATTTTCAGATTTATAAATTTTGTCTCAATTTTTGCGTAGTAAATCTTATTATTTTAAATGTTAATATTCTATAATGAAATAATGAACATTATTCTATAATGAAATCTGTTCTTCTTAGCTACATTTTCTACACTTTTCAGTTTTGTCCTCTTTTTTTCACATATGTGTACATGCAATATATATACATATGTATAAATTATTAATTTTTTTATCTTAAACATGGAAAAGTGTATAACAGGGAGTGGCTAAAAGGAACAAATTTAATGTATTACTAAAATAATCTGACACACGTCTAATCGTACAGGCCTGTCAGCTGTTTATGTCGGTGGCAGTAGAACAAGCAGGTATCGACTACCATGTGGTTCTAGCGCAAAACGCATTGCAACAATGCCTAGACCAACCTGAACTTCAGTCTGAATTTATATGCGCACTGGTAAAGCAGACAAGTCGTCACACACAACACCGTTTGGGCGTACAGGTAAAAAAGGCCGCCAGACTTGTGTCACTGGGTACTGCGCGCGTTGTAAGTCCTGCTTATTGTTTAACAAAAACAACATTCAACCATCCTGTACCATTTTTGAAAGTTAAAACGATATTCATTGATCGTTTATTTTATTTTTTTTTCAACTCGGATAGATCTAGAACTCATCTGTATCTCATACGCATCATCGAACATATTTTCAGTGTCGATCATTTCGAACGATATTTCTTTCAATGCGGAAAATGGTACACTGGGTATGCTTAGTCAAGTATTACAAATAATCCTTCCGGGCGTGGACACTGAGTAGTGGTTTTAGTGGAATATGGTTTAACTAAAAAAAAATATGTATATACATATAGAGCACTCGATAATTACTTAACGGGACATAAATACGCCGCTTATCGCTGCAATACTTGACCAAGTTCAACGACTATTTTAGTTTTAACAATCATTCACACATTTAATTCTAATTTGCCGCTTTAAGTGTGCTGTCTTTTAGACTCTCACTCTATTTCAATCGCATGCGTTTATAATTCTGTTAGGCATCACGATGGTGTTAAGTTTTTCATTTACTTTTTATCATATACTTTAATATTTATACATCATTACCCGATCAAATTACCCTAACGCCCATCATGTGAGCCGAACATATTTCGACGATTATCATAATATCAATCAATGTGAATGTCTATCGATCGCGTAAATCTGTGCTTTAAATCTGACGTACGTTATAAAAACGTAATATTTTGTTTCTGAATGAGAAATCCGTCAAAATACGTTCCGCGCCACACACACACACTTGCAGAATGGTATGTTGGTGTACATGAGGACACATACAGAAAGAAACATTTTTAAATTCTTTTTTTTTTCTAATTTTTCACACGAGTTTCCTTTTTTTTATAATAGCTGCAATATATATAGTTACTTGGATATTCTCTGTTTGAATGCTGCTTAGAGATTTAGATTCTTATCGCCGGAATTAGATTATTCTAACAAGTAAAATTTATAATCCTTTACACACCCTTTCCAGACGATACAAATCTCTGAAAGATGTCACAAAGATGATATAAATATATCAAAAAAGTGGTTCAGATAAATCACTTCAGAGATATATTTAGACATCTTGTAGACAACTTTTGAATCTTTGTATTTCACTTCCTTTCCGTTTTTTTTCCTTTTTTGCTATCCTTTCCTCTGTCTCTTTCTCTGCTCTTCTGTATGTCCTTCTTCCTCCCAACTTTATTGAAAAAGAAAAAAAAGGAGACATAGTACAAGGACAATATTGTTCCGAATTTTACATAAACGTAAATTTGTGAAGAAAGAGCCTCAGTCGTCTCATGTAATGTCAACGAACGTAAACGCAACGCTTTACGGTTGGTACGGTAGATTCACGCGGCCTATAAGAGCTTTCATTGACACATTTTAATTTTCATGCAATTTTTGAGGGTTTTTATACCGATTACGCGTTTTTATTCGATTAACACGTAGAGTTGTGCGGTGAAATTTCGATTTCTCGTGCTTATCTACTAACTAACTACTATCGAAACATAATTAATTCAAGTTGAATCTGCTACTTTCTAGTAATGCAAATTTTTTTATAAAAGAGAGATCTACGTATCACGTGAAAAATCAGTTAATTGAAGGAAATCAATTGAGATTTATACTCCAAAGTTACGAATTTCTAACTTTTGAGGGATCATGGGATAATTTTCAGATTTGTTTTTGGCTTTCTATTACTTCTCACTTATTTTATTATTATCTTATTTTATTAATGTTATTCTTTAAAAAGAACCATCTAATCAAAAATTAAAGCAATATTCTTTCCACATTGTGCGCACTTAAATTGTATTGTTACGTCTTATTTCACTGAATAAATGGAAAAAGTCGAACTTAGGAATTTGAGAAAATTAAATATACATTTTTTCAAGTTCTTAAAAAAATAAAACCACTATGTTGCACCGAAAATTTTATTTAAAAAGATTATCTGTTTTATCACTTGTGCGTAACACAAGCAACTAATTAGCTAATATACTAAGAATAGAAATGAGTAAAATAGAATGGAATAGAGAACTAAGGATCTTTAAGCTAATCCTCGCTTTCGCTCGAAGGACAGAAATTCGATTTGGCAGAATTGATCTCCCTCAGTTTCTTTTAACCCGCTGATTTTTCGCTAAATGTACATATTCACAATCGAAAATCTAGTATCTACGCATACATATGGAGAATGAATATCCACCTGTAAAATGATAGATAAAAAAAAGTAAATAGTTGAAGAGATAAATGAAATGATAACGTCATGAAAATATCGCGACGTTTCGTTTACTCGTGGAAAACGCGTTTACCCTTTGACGACGAGAAGTAGTATACTAGGATTGGCTGAATACATGTGCCGGGACATAGTAGTATGCCAGCATACCATTACAGCAACTCCTCCTCTGCGCCACGCAATCGCTCTTCACCTGCGATACGCAAAGTCCCGCGGCAAATGGCAGCGGTGAAAATGCGGACGCGCAATCAACGGCCTCGACTTCTCACAGTCCTCCGCTCACGCAGGGCCACTCGACCTCCACTATCTTGGACTGCAAAACTAATCCCGCGCAGTATGTGCTTATCCAGGGATGGCAGCTCCTGGCGCTCGCCGTTTCCCTATTCCTGCCCAAAAACAATCGGCTACTATGGTACCTGAAACTGCACCTGCAGAGAAACGCCGACAGCAAGTGAGTGAGAGCCGGATCGGTGAGCGGATCGATCATTGCAGAGAGAAACGTGAAGGGGAAAGCCTCTCTCTCTCAGGTCATTCCGCGAGGAAATAAGAAGAAAAATCTTTTCCAGGAAGGGGAACAATTCCTAACAATTGCGCTATTCTGTGATTTATTGTATTATATAACGTAAACATAAAAGTAAATTTTAAAATCAATCCGGAATTTTGACGAGGAGTTTTAAGGCAGTTCTTTCCAATAAGAATGAAAATATTAGTTCTTTAAGAGATAAGATTAAGCTTGTAAGACTCGTGAATCTTAATAATTATATTTCCGTTCATTTTTCGCAAATATAAGTTAGGTTTTCGATCCGTTTTTCTTTTCCGCAAATATAATTAAAGGCTCCGTTAGAAACTTTTTCTCTTGTTGTCAGAAAAATTCTCAAAACTTTTCTATATGCATTACTAAAGCTATTTTCGATTTATAATCTTTGTGATAAATGGATCTATATTAAATTGATTAAACGAATCGAAAAAATTATAAAAACACGTCTTTTCTGCAATGATAGATCCAATTCTAACTTTTGCTAATTGATTTACCATGCATCACATTGGCGTTGTATTATATCCAGAACGGAATGCGGCAAGTATGCGGCTTATTGCGAGAGAGCGTTGGAGAGAACATTGCAAAACGGTAGTAGAGAGGTGAAGCCGTCGAGAATGGAAGTACTGTCGATACTCATGAAAAATCCGTACCATCATTCATTGCCGCACGCCATACCGGTTCACTTTTTAAACGGCACCTATCAGGTCGTGAGCTTCGACGGTAGTACGACGATAGAGGAATTTCTGAACACTCTGAATCAGGAGATCGGCTGCAGGGACGTTCATCAGTCCGGCTTCACGCTATTCAGCGATGACCCGATCGAAAAGGATCTGGAGCATTTCATCGATCTAGAATCGAAGGTTCGTATAAAAATTGAAATACACGGCCCGGTCTAGCGCGCGTGTTCCCTTTAGCGCCGAGATACGACCGTGTCTCCTAATTGCACGAATTTATCTATTTAAGTTATTCGTCTAACTTGAGACCATTCGTGTAAAGAAGATATTAAATTATCACGTATTTAAAATATACATACTACATTAACGATACAATTTATATTGCATTTCTCTAATGAAACCTATAAAATATTGAAAATTTTAAATAGAATAAAAACTTGTTCTATTTCAGTATTTAAGATTTAATATAAATTATGTTTCAGCTATGTGACATTATCTCAAAGTGGGAGACAGCGTTACGAGAGAAGGGCTCGGGCAAATTCGAGAATACTAGAGTAATACAATTGACATACAAATCTCGTTGCTACTGGCGGCAAGCTGCTAAAATGGAAACGGACAAGGAGAGGCTCTTGCTGTGTTATCAAGTGAATCAACAAGTTGTGCAAGGAAAATTTCCCCTAAATCGTGAACTCGCTTTTGAATTGGCATCGTTGATGGCACAGGTAATTTATTTTAATTAAACATGTATTACATGTTATTTGAAATATATTTTAAATAATTGTAGACGTATATTTTATTATCTAAATTATTTTATTTATTTATATTAATTATCGTAAAAGATAATTACATAAATCATTATTCTCTATAATTTTATCTTTACTCTGCACGATCATTTGATCAATTTCACAGATCGATTTTGGAGAATACAACAATGATAAAGCGCGCGGCAGTGGCCCCGGAAGTGGCAACCCGCATCATCTCGTACTCCAAGCCCTCGACAAATTTTATCCATTACGCTATCGAGCCAACATTACCGCCGATCAATTGAGGTGAATGATCGATAACTCAATTCAGTATCGACAGAATATTTATATAATTTATAATGTTATATTGCATTTGTCGCTGTTTTATAACAAATTATTTTTTTATTTCATCAGGGAATTGCAGGAGAAGTTGCAGGAAAAGTGGATCGCTTTAAAAGGACGTAGCGTAGTGGATTGTGTTCGTATATATCTCACATGCACCAGAAAGTGGCCTTTCTTCGGAGCTACTCTGTATCAAGCGAAGGTATAAAGTAGGAATAAAATGATTGTATAATTATAATTATACACGTGTGTGATTCGATTTTATATTTTCAAATATTTTCTACAGTTGAAGCAAGGCGATCCCGTGACGGTCTGGATAGCGGTTTCCGAGGACAGTGTAACATTGCTTGAATTACAAACGATGGCCGTTATGTGCCGGTATAATTACGCGAACATAATAACGTTCGGCGGCTGTTTGGATGATTTCATGCTCGTCGCTTGCCCGGACGAGGGTGCGGCTGAGCAGAAACTGCTGTTCGCACTCTCTAAACCTAAAGTGCGTATAGTTACAACGTCGTGGAGAACTCCTTGTAGTAATTTAAAAGAATATATTTATTTCATCCATTTTCATCCCGTTTTCAGATTTTGGAGATAACGTTATTGATCGCCGACTATATGAACGCACTAGGCCACGCATTACCGGGTACCCCACAAATGAATACTCTAACACGCAATGGATCACACCGGTCCATCAAATCCACTCTGAGACCTGCGACTGGTTGGTGAAAAAGAGATTTCTGTTTTCTAAACGTGTTACAAAATTATAATTATACAGGATTGTTTTCGAAAACTGATAAGAGAATAAATAAGAGAATAAAATTACTGTAAACATTGATTCAGAACACCCATTTTTAATTAACTCTTTCTGTATCGTGAATGTTGATGATCGATCTCTTCTCAGAATTAATTTCTCGATAGACAAGCAACAAGTTAAAAGTTAAAATTGATAGATCTTTAACCGTGTGATTTTTGTGTCTAATAAAGTATCAATTGCATAGTCATATTGGTCAGTAATTAAAACTATCTTACAAAAATAATGCTTGGTGAATTTTATGTTTGCAGGTTCAAGCTGTCTTCCAACTCAACCTGACATATTGAAATCTACGCCAGATCACCAAAGACCTTAATAAAAAGGCTCGTCGCGTTAATCTTTCGGAAAGACAATGGGAATATATTTCTTGAATTCGCGCGGAGATCTGATGAATATTTTCTTTTGTCGTTTGTATCATATAAAGTTATTAACTAAAGGCAGCGTAACAGTGCAGTATTATAGTATCGTACACTGCGACGTGCGGTGCATCGTTTTTTTTTTCTGCAAAACGAAAAATATGTTCGCACACGCGTTCGAATCATGTTTACGTTTACGTCGTATGTGCATGTAAATTAGTATCGACGTTTGTAAGAAACGTTGTGTCTGTGTAAATACTTAACTAATAAGCGCAAGAGTTGAACCACAAACGATCGTACTGGTGGTTTAGAGTGCGGCCGAAATCGAATCGAATCGATCTGTAACACTGCCTAACGTTAGTATGCGCGATTACACATCGAATAGTTTCAACCAGCGGCTACGTACCATGCTGAGACTTTTGCTACGTATTTATATATCAAATTATAAAAACGACAGAAGCGACAAAGGATGCGTAGAATATTGCGTAATAGTGATGTATTCACACCGTATCGTGTATATATTAATCAAAGTTATTAAATGTTTAGGAGTATATCTCTCAAGTGACACAGCGATGCGTTCTTTCCCAATTTTTTCAAAATGTCATTTTCAATTCTCTGTCGAACGGAATATGTCCAAGTCCCCATGAATGTTATCGCTATGTCATATAATTTGTAACACACTTTCTTCTAATTCTATCCAACTGTTTTTGTTGCACGTCTACTTTTACTAGACAAAAAAAATCTATACTTTAATTTATTTTACCAAAATAAATTAATTTTTGTGTTACAGATTTAAATTTAATTAAAATTCAATTTGAGGATTTAGATTTAAGAGATCCGAGTTATGTGTGGGAGGATTTTAATTTAATTGAAATTGTATATTTCATGATTGGAATTTATTCGAAATTAAATTCGATTTTGTGATATTCGGACAAGAACGGAAAGCAAATCAAGGGAAGACAAAATTATTTAAATTTATTTTACAAATCACATATTGCAGAATAGTAAATAGATTTGATAAATGGAACTATCTCATTGATGTTTATTCAACAAAAAAAAAGATATTAATTATTTTTTTCTCTTATTTTTAAACGTCATTTTTTCTTTTACGTGAAGCTACTCGTGAGATGAATCAACAAACAAACAAAATCTGATATACTCATAGTGTTTTCCATTTAGCGACACAAGTCGATACAAGCGTCGTTCTATCTTTGTTGTCACTGGATGTTGAAAGAAGACAGAATGATGCTTGTGTCGACTTGTGTCGCTAAATGAAAAGTGCCCATATTAACTTTGATAACAGCTAGTCTCGTATCTGATATTTATTTAAGATGTAAGCGATTACATGGTTTCTTTTTTTTTACAGATACACGACCAAATAGATGATAATTGGGAACGTAATTTACTATTTAATACAATTAACGTTGCGTTCCTGCGCGTAATACGTGTGCAACACCGTGTATTAAAACATACGTAACGAATATAATGTTGTCTATAATATATATACATAGAGAGCGAGAGAGTGAGAGAGCGAGAGAGAGAGAAAGAGAGAAGTTTTGTACTCGCGTTCGACGTGTCCTACATAACTAGTAAACGTCTTCCTTCTAGCGGTTACAAATTATGAGCTGAAAGTAGGGCTTTCGTGCAATACGTACAAGACTTCTACGGTTTTGTAATTTTTGAGATTACTATGCGTCTGTCCCGAGCGGAATAGCGGGTCTCGTAGGATCTCTGCAAGATATCTTCCGGAAAACGCCTCGAAAAAAATCCTTCAGACATCGGACATCCTCGCGATCCTCCCGTAAATATCCGAACGGGCGCGCGTATACTCATGCTTCATTTAGCACATTGTGAATGTTTGTACGAATAATTCGAACTTCAGACTATTGAGAGCAGTACAAAGATATGCAAGAACGACATTTTGTCCTTAATTTTTTATATAATATATATTGAAATGCTATCGCGTGGGTGATTAGCACCTGTGTATCGTGACGTAGTTGAAGGAATCGTACGCGTATTACACTCACTTATTCGTGTAAATATCATCATCATCACGAGAACGGACTTGCGTTTCTAAGAAGTTAGTAGAATCAAAATAGGCAGCTAGCAGTTTACACAATCGAGCTCTATTTGGACCGCGTTCTACCGAAAAAGCCTATCTCACGTCTTACATTTATATTTATTATTCGTATTCGAGAAAACAAAAAAGGTACGAGCGAGACAAGTGGAAAACATTGTGTACTATTGTACAGAAGAACAAATAAACTGCACATTAATACAATTTTACAGACGTCGACGGCGGCTGTCGAGCTTTTTTTATCTCACTTGAAAGAGATAGAATACGAACGTTGATAAAAAAAAAGACATAAAAAAATATCCATAAACTTGATGTAAAGAGGTCATCACAAACGGGGACCGTACATTTTTAACGACCTATATTTCTGATATACTCAATTTTATAATAATTTGTACACCCAATTTGTTTATAATTTACTTTTCAACTTTTGTCAATGCGAGAAGTTGAAACGTTTCAGTCCACCTCTTCCGGTCTCACAGGATGCGTTAATGGAATCATAGATTTCTTTTTCACATCTTTTGACAAGGCTTTTCTCATATCTAAAAGTAAGAAGGTATTTATTACATCTCAAGCCCATAAAGATTTGTTACTTCAGATTTCTCAAAGAACATAGATCCTATCTACCATATGCATCTTCGTCTGGATCCCCATTGTAATATTCCAGTACTGTCCTATACACAATATATCCTAATTGCTGGTACATGGTGATAGCCACCTTGTTGCTCACCCTAACAAAGAGATCCACGAAATACGCCTGTTTCCTGTTTGAACGAAAATATATGTAATAAAAGGTATATATTGATGAGGTATCGTCATGGTTAATCAATAAATTATAGCTTACTTTTCGGATACATCCTCAAGATACTTCATCAACATCGCAGCGAGACCCAGTCTCCTGTAATCGGGAGAAACTGTGAGGGCTGTTACGTGACCATGCCAATTTTCTCCGTGACCCTCGGCCTTTCCCATGACTTTGATTTGACAAATAATAGTGACTGTTAACTTTAAGCAATGAAAAATCGCACTTGCAAGAATATATTGGAACCGAATGGACTTACTGTAACCCATAATTTCACCGCTCGGAGATTCTGCCACTTGAATGTACTCCGGCCAGTGTGAAAGGTAATGCATATAAAACGAAAGCCCGTACTAAGCAGAAATGCGAAAAATCAAGGAATATACATTGAAAGATTTTAATGTTATTTCAATGAAATGCAATTCGCAATCAATGCTTTTTGGAACAAAGACTGATTTATCATCTTACTTCAAATATTTACGGGAATGTTTTATGTTATGATTTACATGATAACACTATTAATAGGTTGGTGATGAAATACTTGCTAATAATACATTATCAATCTATCAATTTTCTATCAAGTATAACAAAGGATACCGTTTCTGTGAGCGGATCCAGATTCCTGAAAATGACAAACGCAATCATAACAATCGGCAATAAATAAAATAATTATTGTCCAACTGAATTTTAGGTTAGGACGAGGGAAAGTGCCTGAAAATTACTTACACATTGTTAAATTTGAACAAGTCGTTGCATGTGAAGGGCCTAAGCGTCGTCATTTTCGAAAGTTGTAAAAGATACAATTTACTTTATTCACTTATCGATAAAATTTAGCCGAAACGGAGAACGGTTGCATTCAACCTCAAAGCGGTATTGCTACAGTAGGCGGCGTAGGCGCCAGCCATCTGCCATATACGCATACACTTTCGTAGTTGTATTTGTAGCTGTCAAGCCGTTATGTATGTATGTGGGTACCGTATGGCATCACAGAGAGAAAAAGAAAGTATCTCATATCACAATAATTAAAATATTCTATTAAAGTCCTCCAAAAGTCCAATGATTGATACTATTAAAAATACTATTATATCCAATTATACTATTAAAATTATTATATTAATATCCAATTATTAAATTATTTTCAGATATAAAATGAGAATTGAAATTTCTCAGGAGTCTCAAAAAATCGTCAAAATTAGAAAAATCAATTTGGATAAAAGATAACGAGAATTATAAAGCGCATTTCAAGACTTTCAAAAAATCATTATCAGAATTAATATATTCAGATAGTAAGAATTGGAATATCGATGTACACCTTACAAATTTCGAAAATTCATCAAAATTAATAAAATATATAAGAAATTCTTTAAAATCAAAATTACGTTAATTAAAATTCTAGTTCAAGTATCATGTGACCAATTTCGCTTCTTCCATATCGGATTGATGCAATTTTATCGGCGACCTCTCTGCAGGATACCTAGGGATAAGTAATAAATGCTCGTTTGTCTAGAAAAGGATTTGTAATTCCGTTCCCGTCATTCAAGTGTCGAATATAATAATTACAATACATGAATGAAAATGCTTGGTTTCTTATTTCTTATATTATTTACATCGTTACACGAGATTAAAAGTGTACGTGAACTGTGTGTATCACAGAACACGAAGAACGCAACAGAATTTCTTACGAAAAAAAACCTTATTTACTTTAGAGAAGAAAGCCTTTACTGGTTAGTTTATCCCCGTTCTATTATTCGAGAGCACTGTTACTTCTCCTTGCGTTGCGACGTCAGACTGTCATGCATGCTCATCACCACGGCCTCTAGCAATTCCGGTATCACCACGCCGTTAACGTCGATGAAATTCGCGACGGATTTGGTCACGCTTGCCTCATTGAAGCTTCCCACCGGGCTCCTAACTGACAGCACCAGATTGTACTTGTCGTCGTATTTCTTCAAATAGGAACTCGCCTCCCAAATCATGTCAGGATTGAAACCTGCTGGATCTCTGAAAGTCAAAGAGATTATATTATCTTATACAATTCTGCAAATCTGTATTTCTATTGTACATTATTCAGTATTAAATATGACCTGTTCAATACTCTCGCTCGTAATAATAAAAAAATGAGTTGAAACGAGTGATGTGTAAGGAGTAAAGTTTAAAATGAAAAGACAAATGGTTTAAATAAAAATATTACATAGAAATGAAGAGAAAAAGAAGGGAATTATAGATTGATAAATTATAGACTAGATATATATATACACAAATTCACCTTTGAATTGCAACTACAAATATGCCCTTCTCTTTGTACGTCGTATACAACGTCAAGAGTCCCATTAGAAAGAAATAGAAGGAGACGCAGGCTATTAAAACAGGCTTGGAGGCCGGGAATGGATACAAGTAATCGCACAACAACGCTACGATGGCTATTGTAACGGCGATCCCGCAGAGGAACAGTCTTCCGTCGAGGAGGGAAAAATTTTCTATGTAGTTATATTTCTTCGTAAGTACATCCTTGACCGCGTCGTCCAAGGCATTTTTCACGGCTGAGCCGTCCCACTTATTGATTTTTATGACCTGCGGAGTAAGAGTCTTTTATTTCGTTTCTTTTTGCGAAAAGAAAATTTATTTTACGCGAAAACAAATTACAGGTCGTATTATAAAAAGTTATGTAATTGTGTTGCACGAAGAATTACGCAGAAACGTCAGAATTTTTAATTGAAACAGATAAAACGTCTTGCTCTGGATTGAAAAATTTGAGGTTCAAAGTTCAATTACAATTTTTCAGTTACAATTATTAATTTGCCAATCGTGATATTCAAAGTACAACATATGTACTGTGAAAGGAAATAATTGTACAGCCAAGGGAAGACCCGTTAAAACATTAAATCCCAGTTGTCCGGAGTGCCATACGTGGCAACGCGAACGACCGTATTGTCGGCGGAGGCGAACGATCGCGCGATTCGACGCAACAATTATTTTCGTCTCGTGGCACGCGCCGTTCGCGAAATGACATTTCGGTGACGGATGAGAATGATTTCAGTTATGAGTGGGGAAACATACGGAATTCTCCGCGGCGGCGGCTGCACCCATCGCGACCATAACCTCTCGGCAAAATACACGTCGCGTCTCTCCTCGGGATACACGTCGGACGAATGATCGGGCTTGGCTCGGTTCGGCGGACTCGGCCGACCCACGTCGATCGCTGTCAGCCAATCCCTAACCTCAAAATTGCTCCTGGCAACACGTATACGATTATTTTTTAAAGGCCGACGTCTTCAAGTTCAATTATCCTGCACCAGAGAGAACGGAAGGGAGGCCACGCCGGCTTTTTGGATGGGACCGACAATCTCCTCCGTACACTAGCGCCCCACGTCCACGTTTTCAAAAAAGGAACTACGTACATACGTCTATCTTATAACATTGCCGATCAAATCATAGCATTAAAACGTGGTTCGTGTCCGTGCTAATCGTGTATTATACATATACATATGCCTCATTCTTCTTTCTTTTTCTTTTTATTTCTCGCAAAACTTCATATTACATAAATTAATTATATATTTTTTTTTTAATTAAAGATTTTAATACAAGTACATATTAAATGTTATATGTGTAAGCTGATATCATACAAAGTATCGTCTTAATATGCAATGTAACATATTAGAATGAACAAAGGGAAAGATTTATTATAATATAGTAAATCATAATATAGTTTACTGATTAAATATTCTTACACAGTTGCATATTGTTATCCAGGGGTCGGTTGTATATATAATATTATTATATTTAAAATATGTATTTTAAATTAAAAAAGTAAAAGAATTATTTAGTATTTATTATTCTAAATAGCTTTTAATCTATTTTTTATTTAATATTTTAAATACGTTTTTGGTAAATATATTTTATATTTATCATTTTAAATAAGTTGTATGAACTCCTTTACTGGCCCCTGTGATATTTTATTTTAAATAAGTTTCTGAAATTTATTTTATATTTGTTATTTTAAATAAGTTGTATCAGTTATTTACCACATGAGACCGTAAAATTTTCGCGCCCGTTTAAACGACCAAATTTCGGATATCACGACAGTTGTAATTATAATTAATCATAAAATTAAGAAATATCTCACGCCTATCTAAACGATCGCGTTTCGGGGCTCGCGATCTTCTTTGTTAATTATAAATAAGACTGTTGCGAATTTCTCGCGCCCATTTAAAAACGACCAAATTCCGGATATCGTCAATGTTGTAATTAATTAATCATAAAATTAATAAATATCTCGCGGCTATATAAACGATCGCGTTTCGGGGCTTGCGATCATCTTTGTTAATTACAAATAGAACTGTTGAATTTCTCTCCCATTTAAACTACCACTTTCCGGATATCACGAACGTTGTAATTAATTAATCATAAAATTCTTAAATATCTCGTGGAAACGCGTCTTCACGTCGCGCAAAACCGGGAATTTTAAATGTCTAACAATTTTAGATGATTTATATCAATCCAACATATATTTATTTTACACATCGTCTTATACACAGCACAGTACATTTACACGTAAAAAATACGCAATGCGTACGGATGTACGTATTGCAGTATAATATATCCAGTATTGTAATGTATACCCTTTAAAAAAAATTCTTTCAAGCAATCCTTTTAATAGACGTACTGTTTCGCCAGCGCTCTCAAGAATTTAGCTTTACGAATATTAGCCGCTTCTCTTTGGATCTCTTCGTTGTTGTTAGAGTTTAATTCCAGCAAACCGATTACCTTGATCTGCAAAGTAAAATTGTTATAGAGGGCAAAAATGTAAAGAGATCTGCCGATCGTGTAATATCCAATTATTCAAAATAATTGAAATGATTGATATTCGTAATTATATCACTATTATTAAATCATTTAATATTTGGTTGACTTGATTCAGTTATTTATGTTTTTTTCAGTTATTTGACTGATATTCGTAATTATATCACTATTATTAAATCGTTTAACACTTAGTTGATTCAGCGCAAGTTATTTACCGCGAGTTGCTTTCTGTGATGCTCTCCGCGCTTCGTGTGCAACTGTATAAGATACTCTAGCAGCGTTGTATCCCAAATACAATGATAATACGCGTCCATAGCATCAGCCGCGGCACAGCTCTTTTGATCGCTGGCTGCCATTTTGAATGCCAGAGAATAATCAATTTCCTCCAAAAACTGACACAGCACAGCCGCCTGAGTGTAGCACTGCAAATGAGCGCAACACTTGATCATCCTTCTGTAAACAAGATCGTCTATCTGCGTGCGTGGAATGGGTTGACTGAACAAATCGCTGGCTATCATGATTGCCTCCAAATAATATCTCATTGCACTTTCGTAATAATTTAGAACTAAAAAAGAAAACAAAGCAATGTTATGTTATATATATATATATGTAATACAAATGTAATGCAAGTAAAATACAAGTATAAATAAATATATTTAATATAAAACAGTATTGCATATAATATTTGATATTTGTATTTGACGAAACGAGACGTACCAAAATTAAGATCACCCATTAGCCTCAACCAAGGCACATTGCAGGGATAATATTTTAGAGCTTGCGTCAGCAATTGGAACAATAGTTCTCCAATATGTCTGATGTTATATGAATTTGCACTGTAAACATTAATTTCTACATAAGTATCACTTGAGTCACATTGAATATATTACTAATATTTAAAATACATTAGTAATATTGAAAATATCAAAATTTTAAATTGTTAATGTAATATAAGAAGATGTAATTATAGGATTTGTAAAAAAAATCTACTACGATCAATACACAATATGATACTACAATAATGATACGCACTTTGGTACTCCAGCAGGCCAAAGGGATAGATACTGCGTGTGTAATTCCAGACTAGACTCATCGCGCAAGATGTTGCGCAAACGAGCTAATAATGATATCACCACAGTGAGAACCATGGGTTCCCGTAGTCGGGTAAGTGTAAGGGCAATACTAGCGGCAACGTCTCTTGACGTACTGGAACTTCCGCTGTTACTGCCGCTACTGCTCCGCTTTTGTGACTGATCCCTAGTGGGGCCAAACGCTGCTAAAACTGAAAGAGCACATGATTTTATTTCATTTATTTTATTTTATTATCTATTTTCTTACTTTTAATTAGACTTTTATTTGCAACACTCGCGTTTGATGAAAAATTCTCTTACTCTGAGAGAATTATCATTTTACACAAAGTTTTCAAAATATTATATAAATCTTTTTTTTCTGTAAAAAAAGAGATTCTGTATATGTGGCTTTAATAAAAATACATACTCATGTCCCATGCGTCCCGCGGGAATTTGCGGGTTCCTTTGTACTTGACAATGTCCTGGCAAACGCTACTAATGGCAGCTGCGAATTCGGTGTAATTCCAGCGCTTCTCCAAACCAGTAAGATACTCCCACTCAGCCATGTTCAGAAGGAAGACCGTACAGTACTCTATCACTTCCTGTCGCGGAATCAGCTGATCGGACCCTTGTAATGCTCCAAGGCACTGTTTACTCCGTACAATCATACTTTGAACATCACCTGAAAAAGTAATACAATCGTATCAAATTATTACAAAAATTCATCGTTCTTTCATTCTTAATTCTTCGCGTACGTACAGACGTTTGTCGCCGGCCAGGCCTGGAAACACTTCCATATCTCGACAAGCAGGCATTCCCAGTTCACTAATTTGCACAGCTTAAAGATTAACGAGCCCCCGCTCTTCACGTGCTCCTGCAGTTCTTTGTCCAATATCTTGAGAAGCTCGATGGCGCCGTCGAAGCTTTTGGCAGTCACCAATTCTCGACTCTTCGCGAGTAAAACGTACGAATAATCCTGGATAAAGCCCCTAGGAAGTGTCATCACTACACTCTGCAATGGAATGGGTAACTCCCAACAGCCATTCACATGGTATAACGGTTTCATTCGATGTTTCCCGTCAAGATGAATCAACGTTTCGCGGATTATATTGGAATCATATGACTCTATCAACTTTTGTTCCAATTGAAACACTTCGATCCTCGAGTTTTCTATAAATTTTAACAAAAAGAAAATTTTAGTCAATTTGTAAGACCGTGAAATAAAGTCTCAGTAATATCTTTGATATTTTCTTTCTTTTTTTTCTCGAGAGAGAAAAAGTTTTATACTTACGTATAAATGGTACAGATGGGATACCCCAGTCGTTACGTAGCAACAAGTCCGGTATTTCTATCTCATCAGAAGCAGCTGCTTGCTGAACAATTGTGAGTTCTGCTTCATCGAATAATGACGTATAGGAAGGATTGTTGAATAACTTTGAAGCGAGCCCTTCTATATTAGCAGTGTTTATAAGATAAAGAAGATAACGCGAGATTCGTTTTTTATCCGAAATCGTTGCCTTTTCCAAGATATTATCTAAAGCCTAACACATAGTATAAAATTTAATTAATAATTCATTTAATAATTATTTACAAAAACAGTTTTATTAAAAATTATATGAACATAGTATTAAATTAGCGTACACTCGAAAAAAGTTTATTTTACAAAATAATGAAAAGAAAAATCAGGAAACTTTTATTTTCAACTATTTAAAAGTTAAAAGAATAATTTTGTCAGTAAGTAGCGAACTTAATTGAGAAACATTCGAAAATGCAAATAAAAGCTATTTTACCCAAAATAGGACATCCAGACCCTTCGTACCAGCTGCCTTAATTTCAGTTATGTAGTCACCCAGGATTATGCTGTCATCAAGGATTTTTCTAACCAGATTCAAGCACTCTATTTGCAGGAGAAGATCGCGGGCGACCACGAATTTCCTATTAGCCAGTCCACCTTGCACATCCAGCTCCAAATTATCTCTATAAACCTGCGGTATCTCCCTGAAAACATTATCTGCTTGCAAAATCTGCAATATATTCTGCAGATTTTGCGTGTATTGTGAATACATATTACTCGGAAAGTATACACATAAATGCATAAAAATATACCTACAGTGTATTGATCCTTGATAGAGGCGTGCAAACGCTGCGTAAGACTAGGCGTGATTTCGTCTAGCGGCACTTCGCACGCTAAACAACAGCCGTCCAAGTACTCTTTCTGCACCTTGCAGTACGTTAATTTTTCCGCCGGATGAAAATTACTGTACAACTCCTTCGCTTGTTTAATATGGCGTTTGGCCTCTTGATACTCTTCCCTCAATAAATGAAACATCGCGAGGTCATAATGTATCTAAGAAACAAATCAACATTCCGTTATTTCCTCTCTCAACTTTATTGAGATACCAATAATATCCAGCTTGCTCGTACCTGACATTTAAAGTGATCTATGTTCACCAGGCACATATTTTCCCAATTTTGCTTAATCTCTGTACTGTCCTCAGTCAGCATTTGAAAAGTATCAAAGGATAGAACCTTTGGTTTGATATCGGTCATTTGTAAAATACTGTTCAGGGCACTTACACTGCTTGGTATGTGCGCTTCTAATTTCCTAATAATATCATCTACTATACCAGGAGGTACATATGTCGATTCCTGAGTACCTGGTCTGATTTCCAATAAGATCATTTTATTTCCAGCTCATAATAAAGTAAAATCATTTCAAAGTATCACAATATTTTATATATATATATATATATATATATATATATATATAAAATATATCATGGAAAAACTTACATGTGAAGTAACTGTTGCTTCGGTTGTTTATTGCTGAGAGCCCTGCAAATGATTGCTCTTAGATGCCATCTGTAATACAAAACCAATGTAAACAGGAGCTGGTCAGAAGTGGTTTCCATAATGAATTCTGGAATTGTAGGAATTTCTATCACGACGTCCCCAGTGATATAAAATAGATCTTGCAGTAATGTCAGCTGTATCGGCAAAGGTAACTTCTTCTCCAGCACATCCAAGTCCCATTTGAGATAAGCCGCTACTTTCAGAGAAAGTATCTTTAATGCTAAATTTCTGTGAGACCACTTGTTTATGCCGTTAGGCTTTACGTCGTTCAATTCTGCATCAATTGCTTTTGGCTCAGTCTCTTTTTGGTCGGAATTAATCGTCATAAATTTTATTATCAGGTCTGTAGGCGACGGATCTAAAAATTACATGTATATAAAAATTTCACTTAATGTAAAATTAATTTTTCGATGCTACGTGAATAAATCGCAAATGTTTTATCAAATATACAACTGTTGTAAATATACAGATATTGTAAATGTTTTATCAAATATACAACTGTTGTAAATATACAGATACTGTGTACAAAATATACAGTTTTGGAGTCAATTTAATATTATTTAATATTGGAAATATTGGAAATATTTCTAATCACAAAATACTTCAGAAAGAATATTCTAATATTTCTAATATTATGTTAATATTGTTTCTGAAATATTTCGATTCCATGTGGTTAGAATCGTCTAATAATTGTTTACCCGGGAAAGGTTTTGACAGGTGCTTCTGCAGCAATGAGGGATTCAGTAAAAACTCGAACCAGAGTATCGTATCCGGTGAGATCGGCACGGTGCCCGGTCTGAGCAGATCCACATCCATAACTCCGATATTACCATTAATATATCCACAATTAATTAATTTAATGTTGCGTTTAAACGCTCGAATTACTGTACAAACATAACAAAAGCACGGATCATGAAGAATGAAGATTGCACACTTCTTGACGCATGTGGACGAATGCCAATCTTTCACCACGCTATTCTTCATTGATGAAGTTCACATTTTAATTAACTTAATCGCAATTAATTTCTCAAATAATACACGTATTAATTTATTAATATGGAAATATCCATTTAATTAATTAATTTTTTATTGCTTAAGACATGAAAAAAGAGAAGGTTAGGAACAACGAGTTATATAATTGGAAATTTTGTTTTAAACAACTTTACCGATTAATTTAATCGCCGATTCAATGGAATTTGATCGATTGCTCCAAATTGGCTGTTTTTTTTTCCTCGACCCGAACCCTTTGACTATATAATCATGGACCGCTAGTTGCCCCGTCCCACCACCCCTCTCACCCATAAGGTTATGTATCCAACATGAAGTTGGCTTTAGCCCCGCCTCGTGTGGCAAATTGCGGGAAATTTAAAGGATATCAGAAGGATGTAAGAATTAGATGGGTGGTTGTTAATAAATATTATAACAAAATATAAAGAATAATTAATGTATATAGATATAAATTTTTATTGTCCTTGAAATATTGTCATTTTAGTATTATTATGTCTTACAAATGTATTGTGTTGCAATTTGGTTTGTATATTTCCTTCATAAAAAAATTTAATATCTAAATATGTTCTAATAATAAATTTTATAATATCATATTTATGATTTTCTAAGACCTCTAAATCTTTTACATGTTGATCAAAATTTTTAAAAAGGTTATCAAATGTTAAATGTTGTAACACATCATTAACTATTTTATAATAAATGTTTTTAATTTTTAATTTTGCTTCCAATTTATAAAATAAAAATTAATCTTAAAGGAATTCTCGGAATTCTATTGCCAGATACTGCTGCAGGCTGCTACCTTTATTTCTCCCAACTACCGCTTTGCCACACGGTGTCGCTACAGATCTTGGCTACCAACGTGAAGTTGGCGTCAGCGGTCCATGATTATATAGTCAAAGGACCCGAATTGCTGGGATAAATACATAGGGATTTCTCGATTGGCATTTGACGTATGTTGGACTGACTGGACTAGATGGCAACACTCGCCTGCTCTCAGAACGATTTAAATCGCCTCGGTTAAATCCGCCGAGAGACTCGCAGCTGGCCTGGGTGAAGAAATAATGCAATCTTTCGGCGATGACACTTTCTTCGCTTGCATAGACATCGAAAGGAAACATCAAATCTTGCAAGCGGTGGATAAAGTCCCTTTGCAGGAAGGAAACGTCAGTGATCTGGGTAAATATTTCAAATCGACCTCGCCACTGTCGGGATTCACGAGCACGAGGAACGACGTGGATCGCGTGGACAGATCGAAGTTGTCTGATTCCGGCAGAAAAAGGATCGGAGAAGAGAACGCGTTCGGCCCCGTCAATTTCGAGGACAGTATTATATTTCCCAAGGTCAACGGCAGAAGGAATGTATCCTCGGCCGCCGGTACCTCGCGAGAAAGCAGGCCCTTGCCGTCCCCGAGAGATCGGAGCCCTCGTGCAACACCCAAGAAGAATGTTGACACAAATTTGAGGGAGAAACATCGTCTCGGCACAGCCTGCAGCGGTACGAAGAAACGCGATGTGTCCAGCACTCGAGGTGTACTTTGTAAAAATGCAGGTCTCCTGCTAACAAGACGCGAGATGCAACAAGTAGTGGCGACGTCAGAACGTTATTGACCGTTGATGCTACGTACAGTAGAGAAAATTCGGAATTCGTTATCTCGACTCCGCCTATTTGCACTCAGGATCGTTGTAAATTGGCATCGTGGGGTTTGCCGCCAAATATTCTCGAAGTATTTATACAATATTTAATATATTTAACAAATTTTTATATACACATTTTTATATACACATAAGGTGTATTAGAAGATGTACATTTTTTGTTTTGTCATAATTTTTCTTAAGTCTTAAATTAAGTATCCCTATAATGTATTGTCAAATATACTTAGATATTTATTAAATTTCGAAATATTTATTAAATGCTCGTTAAAGTATCTGTCAGAATCGAATGAGAATAGAGAATCAAATAAAAATTAAGTGATAAATTAAGATTTGCTATTTTTATGTATTTTTTTGGGATTCAAGATGCCACAATTCTTCAATTTTTCAGTATTAAATAATTTCAATATTATTCTTGATATTGAAATTATTTAATACTGAATAATTGAAGAATTGTGGCAACTTGAATCCCAAGAGATACATAATGATAGTTACAGAGTAACTATCATTATTTGTAATTTTTGGATATTTTTATATGTATAAAAATGACTATATTTCTCAGATTTAATATGGTATAAGCAGTATTTTTATATTTATGTATGATATTTTGTGGAATTGATTCAATGATTTTGATAATTACCATTGTTTTTCAGAAATACATCGCTCGTGGAGTCGAACGCATGTTCACATGGCAAATGGAATGTTTGTCAAATCAGCTAGTAATGCAAGAGCGAAAGAATCTCGTGTATTCCGCGCCTACCTCTGCAGGGAAGACTTTTATCGCTGAAATCCTGTTAATTAAGACCGTTCTAGAGAGACAGAAGAAAGTGATCTTTATCCTGCCATTTGTTTCTGTCGTTAGAGAAAAGATGTATTACTTCCAAGTAAGGATATATTATAAGTGAATTTATTGTGCATCAGTATTTTTTATAAGCAATGGATAAATTGATAAATTTGATAATCAGGATTTACTGTCTGACGTTGGAATAAGAGTGGCGGGATTTATGGGAGGGAACGTCCCGCCCGGAGGATTTGCCGCTACTCACGTTGCAATAGCCACTATAGAGAAGGCGAATTCCTTGGTGAATCGTTTAATGGAGGAGAACGACTTGAGTAGCTTAGGAGCTGTGATAATAGACGAATTGCATCTACTCGGTGACCCTAATCGTGGCTATCTCTTGGAGTTGCTTCTGACAAAGTTGAAATACATGACTCTCCAGTGAGTTTGCTGATGTAATTGAATTGCAATTTTTGCAATATGAAAGTGCAATATGACTGAAAGTCTTCCATAATTTAACTTTTCAGCAACAATAACATTAATATACAACTGATAGGCATGTCGGCCACACTGCCGAATTTAACTTTGCTAGCCAAATGGTTGAGTGCAGAACTGTACAAGACTGACTTTCGACCCATACCTTTGAATGAATATTGCAAGGTAAAAATATGAAATAAAAAAATTTTTTTTATTTTATTGTTAATTATGTTTACTTATTTTTTATTTTTATGTTTATTTGAAATAATAGAGATTTGATTGTATTTTATTTTGCTTAAGACATAATCTAGAGAGATTTCGATATTGAAATCCAAGATAATTTCTGCTTATAGATAGGAGCAAATATATATGACAACAAATTGAACCTTGCCAGAAAATTAACAGAGTTACAAGAATTAGACACAGACGTAGATAATGTTCTACAGCTTTGCATTGAGACAATAAGCGCCGGTCATAGTGTGTTGATTTTCTGTCCCACAAAGAAATGGTGTGAGAAATTGGCAGAGCAAATTGCTGCAGCTTTCTACAAGTTAGGTCAGCTTCAAAATTGTCTTTAGATCGAATTTGAATAAGTATAAATTTGTTCTTTTTACCAGCAGTTTTTATATTTTTTTATGATTTTATTATTTTATTCTTTTCTCTGCAAACTATAATATATCTGTTTTATTTAAAAAACTACAAAATGCAATTAAATGAAAGATCTTTATCTTTAAAATTTATCTCAATTTATCAATAGGTTGTGAAAAGACAGAGCTTGGTGAGATGTTAAAGAGAGAAATCAACTCCGCATTAATCCACGAGACTTTGGAACAATTAAAACGCAGTCCAAGTGGTTTAGACAATATTTTGAAGAACACGATTTCATTCGGCGCTGCATTTCATCATGCTGGACTTACGATGGACGAACGTGATATTATAGAAGGATCCTTCAGGTGATAATCATGTTTTTATTTGGCTGACAAATCTGTTGTTTTGTATATTTTTAAACTTGACATTGTTATTTTAGAACGGGATCTTTGAGGGTTCTTATAGCAACGTCGACGTTAAGCAGTGGTGTGAACTTACCTGCACGAAGGGTAATCATAAGATCACCTCTATTCGGTGGCATTCCATTAAATACTTTAACTTACAAACAAATGATAGGACGCGCTGGTCGTATGGGGAAAGATAGCGCAGGTAAGAAATATCAGAATGAACGACATCACTTAGTCATCTTGATTATATTAAATCGAAAGATGTCTTTCAGTTTTTGAAAAATATGAAAGAAATAATATTTGAAAATAGTTAATGATTAATTATAATTGTTTTGTAATTACCTCTAATCTAAATTATGATAAAGAAAATTATATAAAATATCACACACCAAATACTAACATTATTAATACAATGATAACGAGAATTTTATAATTTTCAGGAGAAAGTATATTAATATGTAAACCGAACGAACGTAATGCAGCTATGTCATTACTCTCTGCAGCTCTGGATCCAATTGAATCTTGTCTCAATGATTCCACGCTACTAATAAGAGCGCTGTTAGAAGCAGTAGCCAGCGAAGTTTTATACACATACAAAGATTTAGAGCTGTATATTAATTGTACTTTGCTAAGCTTGAGTGATCAATCTGATGTGCGAACATTTTCCAATGAAGCGATGAAATTTTTATTAGAGAATGAATTTTTAATGTAAGTATATATATATATATATATATATATATATATATATGTATATATATATATATATGTAATTAATTGAA